GGGGTCGTGGGGTCCGAGGGAAATGTGTCCAACTGGAACGTACGCTGCGGGATTCAGTCTAAAGGTAAGTTAAGAATTGAATTATGGTAGTATGGGGTTTGTTTAATGCTTGAAAGTGAGCTGGTGACTGAGGGTTCAAGGTTCAAATCCTTAGGGAAAAAAAATCCCTGGAGTTGCTGTTAGTGATTCAATTCCAGGCTGTTTCTAAAACTCTGGAGTTGTGTTTAGTGATTCAGTTCCAAGTGTTTCTAAGGAAACTGCACCTGCTCAAGTTTTTGACTGCTTTGGTTCATACTAAAGAAACCAAGTTGAATGTTACTATGGATTGGGTTAATCCAGGGATTCCCAGCCCTGTTTCTGAACATACACCAACAGTAAATGTTTGATTCAACTGAACACGTCTTTAGTAGACCTCCAAAATGTGTGATGTTGGTGGACCTCCAGGAACACTAGAGGTTTGGAGTTAAGATTACTCCTTTTGTCTTTCTTATGTCTTACTGTTGTGGTTTTTGTTTAAGGTGGAAGCTCCTATTGGTCGTGGGGATGATACTGCAGTCAATGGGATTCGCCTTCACTGTGTTGAGATTTTTCAAGGCTTCTCACACTCTTATCACGACTACGCCTCAGTTCAGTCAGATGTAGGCAGGTAATGGGCTAAAGAGTAATCCTGTAGCAGGTTTGCAGTTAAGAATTGTTACATTAAGAGTAGGAGGCAGTTTTTTCATAAGCTAGACAATTTAATTAATGACTATTGGTTTGATCAGCAAAACTGTTTATTCTTCAGCTGGGGTCGGTGGACTGATATCAAATGGTGTCCTTCTGGATTCTTGACTGCTTTTCAGCTGAGAGTCGAGAAATCTCAAGGAGATGGTGATGACACGGCCGCAAACAACATCATGTGAGTTTGTGCTGTGCTAAAAATCCTTTAAACTAATTTGGTGCTCTAAAATGACTGGTCTTTAACAAATTGCTTGTAAATTATTATTATTATTATTATTATTTTTATTATTGTTGTTAACTATCATCACCAAATCTTACTGGAATTGATTGCAGGGCTCCAGACTGCGACTAAAAATATTAATTCGTGAGTAATATTTTTGCTGAGGTCGCCACTGGCGACTATATAAATAGGGCTCCAGACTGTGACGAAAGTGGTTGCATTTGCGGCTTAAAATTATTAATTTGAGTTTGCTGACGTCGCCACTGACGAGTGGCTGTGCACAGTTTTGGTGAGAAAACGACCAGTGCTAACGGTGCACTTGCTAAAAGCAGATCTGGTTGTGGCATTGGTGGTGTTGTGATAATACTGTATACCGTGATAAAGCTTTAGCAATTATTGCAACAGGAAAATCTGATAGCGTCACAAGCCTAGCTCCCACTTTAAGTGAACCTTAGTTCCCAGGACATCTACAGTACAAGATGAATTAAAATGCTGATAAACGCATGAAAAGATGAGACCAACACATGTGACTAATGTTAGTGTTAAATTTATAAAAATAAAAACTCTGTGGCACCTAAAGTCAAATTGCAAGTTCAAAGAGATTGGTTTGCCTTTTGTTAGTATTGATCGAAACAACATGTTGTTGCACCCAAACTTCTTCCAGGTTCAAATGCAGTGGAGGGTCTTTACTGCAGGGTGACGGCACACACTGGGGTGATTGGGGTGACTGGAGTCAAACATGTGAAGGAAAAGGGATTTGTGGTATCAAGACACTGATAGAAAAGCCTCAAGGACGAGGAGACGACACCGCTCTCAATGACGTGCGCATGTACTGCTGCAACTAAGGTGACATGAACACAATCCAACACTTGCAGAGCTGTTTGGAAGATCTCCGTGATGTTAGTGCTGGCTTATCGGAGTTTGGCTTTTCTTTCAGGTGTTAGAGGACAACAACAAGAACAGCAAGAAGATCAGATGGATCATAATTGATCAGCATACTGTTATGAGCTCACATTAACCATGTCATACAACAGCTAGTCAAAAAAATAAAGCCTGAGATGTGATCAGGACCTCAACACAAAGCAAAGACTGACAGTACATCTCACTTATTGTGTCTTATCAGTCCATGCATTTCAAATCCATGAACTCCATACTCTACATTAACTGTAAAGCTGTAAACCTGCTTTTTTCTGTAACATGGTTAATTGGGTGTTTTTTTTTTTTTTTTTTTTTTTTTTTTTTTTTTTTCTTTCTGAGGGCATAATATCCTAACATCTATTAAAATATCCAATTTACTTGATGACATTAGTGTTTGTCTGTTGATTTAATGTGACTCGTTGACCTGATTGAAATCAATAAGTGAATGTAGAATTTATTTTTTTT